GGGGGGGGGGGGGGTTGGGAAAGGGAAGGCATAACTAAATTTGCTTTTAATGACACATATTTTAAAACCAAAACAGTTACAGCTGCATTAATTTTCCGTCCTTTTCTTTTGCTTGGAGCATAGTCAGCCCTTGCTTGTTGCTTAGGATTCCTGCTGAACACCTTTCTGACTCAAATCAGAGCCCTGAGGCAGGCAGCTCCTCCATTGTCTCTGTGCACAACCAGCACCATCAGCGGTGTTTCATCAGCACTGAGGCTGGTCCATCAGGCTTATCAAGTCCTGCTCTGCCATCTGTGCTCAGCTGAGGGGTACCAGTGGTTAGCCCCACAGGTCCCAACTGGTATGTTTGTGAAAATTTCATCTAAAGTCACAAGCAGAGTCATCCAGGACTGACTCATGTGAGGTGTCTGTGTGGCTCATTCCTGCATTGGGAGTGCTGGGTGATACGGCTGTCTGTGACCTCAGACAGAGGACTAAGGCCTTCTGGGTTAAAAGCATCTTCCTCAACTAGTTATTTTGTTAATTTGTCAATCTTAATATCCAGTAATAGGTGTTTTCTTCCAAGGGAAGGAATTCCAAAGGAATTTGATGTGTCTTGTTTCTGCAGCTCTGAATCAATCTCTTTTTTGTCAGGGAGTTTTTGTCAGTGCTAAGTAGCACTTGAGGTTAAAAAAATCTGAAATCCTTGGATCAGTTATGCACAGATGCAAGAGAATCAAATGCTATATTCCCACTGGTGACTATCTGTCCTCAATCCCTGCCCTTTTCATGCACTCATGTCAAAAAAAGGACAGTGTTATTCTTTCTAAGCACAGCATGAAAGAGTGCTCTTCTCTGTTCCAAATACCTTATTTGTAAGTATGGAAGCATTAGGAAATGAGCAGTACATTAAGGTTGGATTGCAACTTGTGTAATACAAGGGAGAAACCTCAGCAGAGCAGTCCACATGTAAGCCAGCTAAAGATCTGGCCTATAAACTGATGGTTAATAAATGTGGAATAACAGGTCCAAGAACACCAGACTACCAACAACTGCTATAAAGTAGAACTGGTTGTTCAAAATCCTCAAAATACATTAACAAGCTGCTTAACATTTTATTGCAGAGATGGATGATTGGTCCTGCTGGCCAAAACCCAATTCTCCCATTCCCAGGGAGAATGATCTGCAGCTGAATTACCTCTGATGCTGGTTTTCCAAATTCCTTTCAACACAGTGACCATTTTGAAAGCATAATGCAGTTTGGTCATGCATGACAACAATTTTTGCAGCAGAGTAACACATGTGAAAAATCTAAATCATGCTGGAAATTTGAAAGGAAAATCCATTTGGTTAGGATATATGGTCTGGGAAATGCTCTCTCTGTTGTATTTCACATCAATAAAAGCTTCTCTTGATTTGATTTGTGTGTAGCAAAGCTTCACTGGAGAGATTACAGTAAGTCTTGCTGCCAAATTGAAGCTGAGACATAGGTAGTAGATCTATAAGGGTAGATAAGAATTTTCAACCAAAATAGTACTGAAGAAAGAGATGGATTTGCTAAAATTATTTTCCTCAACCATGACTTCTATCAGGGAGAACAACAGTGTAGCATTTAAGGACACTCAGCAGCATGAAATGCCACCACAAAGCAAAACACAGTGTACACTGAAGGGGAGAAATAATGAACAACCTGGTTAAAATTTGAGCAGAAAAACAGGTGTCACATTCTGCTCTACTGAAGTGAAAATGAGAAGAGCTTCAATAGTAAAGAGGGCTTTGGCTTTCTGTCTCACTCAGGCACCAACATTTATATCATGGAGTCAGTCATCCATCCATCATGGTCCAGCGCAGCCCTTTCTTCAGTCCTGGCTCAGGGGAGGGCTGTGGTGCTCAGAGACACCCTGCTCCTTCCTGCAGCACTCCAGCCTCCTGTGGGGAATGGGTTGGCAGGAGAGAGATGTCCATCCTCTGGCAATCACCAGTATTTCTTCTTCTGGGCAATTTTCCACATCCCACTGGCCTTTCCTTTCCTTTTCTCTTGTTTTTTTTCCCACTTTCAGGTTTTGTGATCCCTTTTTCATGGATAATCCACTGTCTTATTTTTATCCTGTGATTCTCCAGTCAGGGTTCATGATTCATGTAGGCAAAGGACCTGCTGAGGGGAATGAGCACCAGACAGATGCTGCTGCTGCCCTGTAGGACCTCTGCTCAGGGTGGGTCCCTGTTTTGCTGCTCTTCTCTCTGAATTCATACCTGAGGCTCCCTGCCTGGAAGAGCCCAAGTCTGTTTACTTAACATGGGGATAAAATCATTGATTTGCACTTTTCAATATTGAAGGGATTTGGGAGCAATTGCCCATCTGTTGTTAAGCCTAATGGCAATTCTGTTTCACAGTCTGTTATCATTTGTACCCTAGTTATTATCGTAACTGTAGAGGTGACTCTGGCTGGTCTTTGAACTCGCAGCTGTTTGTTACCATTTCCCAGCTAAGAGGCAGCTGCCTGCCATATAATCACTCTTAGTGTGTGTCTCTGAGTAAAGTCACACAAACTTACATTGCTGCTGAAGGTTTCCTTTTTTTTTATTTTGTCCTCACAGGGGCAAGGAGTGCTCGTACAGTCATGCCTGTCAGCTAGGAGGAAGTAAACACCCTCTGGGAAACAGTTGGGAGCAGATTTTAAGCCTCTTTGCCAACGGCATGGCCGTGTGACTGCTCCATATCCTCATTGTTGCGAGGTCAGAGAGGTTAGATCAGACAACCACTGTCTGCTGCACCTTCCACAGAGTGTGGGAAGTGCTGTAGGCACCACTGCTCACAGCAGGGAGACACTCTGGGAGGCTGCTCCTTCCTGCATCCATGGCTTTGGTCACGGCCACCTTGGGGAGCTGCCACCACCGTTTGGGCTGTGGGGAGCTGGAGCTCTGGCTGGCCCAAGAGCCCGACCTGTGTGCAGTTCAGGGGTACCTGGACGATCCCCACACACTCCTTGGGAAGACAGGAGCTGTGTGCAGTCAGCAGACCCATGGCTGGGAGAGGGTCCCTGTTGCAGTGTGACCCTGAGCAGTGGCACAAAGATGTTTCATGGCTCAGACTGGCTGTTCCCTTCTTTACAGATTCTGCAAGCAAAGCTCCAAGGTGAGAAACACCATGTCCTGATGGTGGCTGGTGGCCAGAGATATGCATCCCTTGGGAAGGCAGCTAGGATCAGCAGCTAGGATCACCCAACAAGTGTGGTGACACACAAAAAGGGAGAACTCCAAATATGAAAAGCAAATATTCGTTTAACATAGTTATCTAGGGTCCTGAAGACAGCTGGAATAGTGTGAGCCACTAATTTAGCTGTGAGGCTTATCCTCTTGAAAGTTGTTTCAAGGATTTCTTCTTGAGCAGATACAATAAAAAGCTTTTAATATGCCCAGACTGGTTTTGCTGCAGTGCCTCCTACCTCCATTTGTCTTTTACTATCAGCAGCCTTCAAGCACTTAATTCTACTCAGACATCTTATTTCTTTAACAAAAATATACAAGTATACATCTCATTTACATCTGAGGAACAAACCTTCCTCAACTGTCAACAAAGAAATTATGATAACCTAAAGACAGTATAGATTGCATCATTTTCTTTATTGGAATTCAAGTGAAAAATTAAATTCTCAGATCAGTTCAAGTAAATCCCTACTTTGTGCTTATTGACTTCAGAGCACTTTGAATGGGTGCTGCAAATAGCACCATTAGCCCAAGTGGCCCAAGCATCTCTTCTGTCTGCATGCCTTCAGCATCCACCTACATTCCTCTGAAGATGCCAGTTTAGCTTTGCTCTCATTTACTTCTGGATGAAGGTGAGATACAAGGTATTTATTTTTAGATATCATATAGCTACATTAATACAAAATGTACCTTTCATTTCACACAAATATTCAGAAGAGGAAGTGGAGTACTCTGCCAAGCACACTGAAGTTTCTTGCCATTTAACCATGCTCTGAGAGAAGAAACAATTAATTTTATTTTTTATTTCATTTAATTGCCATCTGATTTAGTTCTCACCCATGGCTAATTACTTAAAAAGAATTCTACTTCCAGGTCACAAAATTTATGAATAAAAGATGTTCATGTGCACTGCCTAGGTCAGGTGTCACAACTCAGTGCAGATATCCACGCAGTAAAATACTTCTGATTTTAATTACTGTATGAATGGATATGATGATTATGCAAAAAATCAATAAAATACTAACCAGACAATAAAAGAAGGTAGGTGGGCAAAGATATCAGCAAGGCATATGTCTGTACAACACAAACATCACCCTGCAAACAGGTGGGGCATGCTCATGTTATTACTAGATATTCTACGTCACTGCAACAGCCAAAGTCATCAAAGTGTCACCATGCAAAGCTGTTTAATTTTTAAGCAAGAGTAGGTATATTTTCTTTTTAACCCCTTAGTGGCTGACTTTTACTGATTTCTTTCTGAAACATGCTTTCCAGGCAGGTCAGTAGAGTTTCTTTCTGCCTGAAGTGAAAGAATGAAGTCACTGAAGGCAAAGTACCAAAACCAAAGCAAACCAAACCAGAATTTATATTACTTCTCACTGCATTATAGTGTGTTATAAAGGATTCACACCTTTTCCTTTCTCTTTATTTCTCTTTGGGAATATCAGAAATACCAAGAGAGTGCATGCTCTTGTATTCTCCCAGACTGACTGTGCATGGTTCTTATTTAACTTCTTGCAAAATCTATTTGTGGCTACAGAAAGATATATTAAAACTGTGCTTGACTTAGCCAACTAAAGATATATTAAAACTGTGCTTGACTTAGCCAACTAAAATATGCAGTTTCTTCACAAGCAGATGTAGAGCAAGCAGTCTTGACCTCTTAGTTACCATCACCATTTGGGTGACTGACAAGCAAAACTTATTCATCAGTGACAAGCCAAACATATTCATCAGCATCCTGTACTCCAGGACTGGGCTCTGCTCACAAGTCAGACTTCTCAGAACAAGGAGGACCTTTTGCTGCCCTCTTGGCACCCTGGGTACAGGCTGTCATGCAAGCTGAATTACTGGCCTGGAAATATTTCCCTGGTAATATTTTGAGCTTTGGGCCCTTTCCTGTGCTCTGTTTTGCAGAGGAGTGGGGTCTAGAGTGAGACAGCCTTTGTTATTCTCATGTGAGCTCAGCTTTCCTCCCATTTCCCTTTGCAGATCCCTTTGCAGGATATGTTTTTATTGCACCCTTGCTCACTTTGGTTCAAGCAGAGTTACTCATTTCCTGACTGTATGTGACCATATGCGTGGCTGTTGTCAGTGATGTAAATCCTCAGCCTTCAGCTGAACTGAAAATCAGCCTGTGATGTTTGATGTGCTGTGTTAATGGGACACGGCTGCTCTGAGATTTCTGACTTTCACAGAACCAAACGTTTAATCTGTGCCTTTAGGAAATAACAATAACTCATTAAGGCCACGCTCTAGTGTTTCTTTTTAAATACAGATGTTATTAAATGTGGAGCTCTACACTGCTTCTGAAAATACATTTTCTGTTCCTTCTCTGTACAAAACTGAATAATGTATCTCCCTGAGTCTCCTTTTACCCAAGCAGCAAAGGTTGCTCTGATGTCAGCTGCACGGGTGAGATGTAATGTGGATAGCTGTGAAATCCCCTTTGACAGCAACAATCAAAGTGAAAATATCCTTCCAATCCAGAAAAGTCTTTCCTCACATATAGGCTGCTACTGTTGTGTAATTGTAAGTGCTAAATCTGAGCACTTCAAACAAATACATGAGAGAGACACAAATTCTTGCCTGGAATCTTATAAAATTCCGAATATAAAAGATATACTTGGAGAATGTAACCAAGAGAGATGATAGAAACAGAGTTGCCCTACCAAAGGCCAGTGAAATCCAAAATAAGACAGGCTGTGGAGGCAGGTAGTCTGTAAGTGCCCCTTGTTTCCATTGGTGCCTGGGAGAACTGTAGGGTGCATTTGTGAGGAAGAGGAGTGAATGGAAGAAGAATACCATTCCCTGAGGAGCTCTCTGGGGGAATCTGGCAGGCACTGCATTCCCATGAGTCCTTGTCCTGTGATATGTGTCAAGAGAGGACACAGAAAGGAAAAGGGAACATGCTGATAATAAGGGAGTTTTTGAAAAATGTTCAGAACGTTACTGTGACTGTTTTTGTGGCATCAAATCTTGTTCTCTTTAAGGTTGTGACAGAGGACAGTTGAGTTTAAACACCAAAGTCAGCTGCTTAGGGGGTGGTGGTCCCAGAAACTGAAGCCTGGCTATCTTGGGGACAGCCCCAAGAGCTGGGGAACAGCTGGATGTGGGAGGTCTCTCAGTGCCTTACAGGAACCTGGAGCCAAAACTCCCTTTGAATTAAGTCAGATGGTGTGGTGAAGCCAAGAGCCTGGTGATCCTACCAAACTTTGTCTTAAAGTACCAGGATACCTTGGTTCTTAACTGCATCTATTTAGCACAAAGCTTCAGGAGTTTCCATCCTGCCTCAGCAATCCCTACAAATTAGCTTTTTTGGAACAGGCAACTCTATTGGGCTGTGTAAACAAACCACATTCAGCTGAATGCAAAGCCCAGCTACAGCTCCAATTTCTGTAAACCATGCAAGAATATAAAGGATGAGTACATCAGTAAGCTCAACCAGAGGCTGATTCATTCATGTATTGATTCATGCATGGTTTATCTTCATGCCTTCCAGAAAGAAAAAAAGTTAAAATGGTTACACTAAGCTATACAACTTGAAAGTGGTGGTTGAGGGGGAAAAATGATTGTCTGGTAGAAGAGTGGCAGATGAAGCTGTGGTTTGTGTAATAATGCTCTTTAATAATTTGCATCACTTTAAATGCTTCTTAGCTGTGTGTGTGTACAAAGTAGAAAAAAATAATAAGCTTAAAATATAGAGGAAATTCACTTGATATTTTATTGCTTTAATGACATGTGTTTTCTCAATGCCTTTCTTCCTCACTGCCTCAAAAAGCAAAACCAGAAAAAAAAGCTTCTTTTATGTTTAAAAAAATATTTGGGTAACAGAAATAATACAAAAAAATCATTACCATGGTCTGGGAGTATTTCCAACCACCTTTGATAAAATCCCATTAGAGGTTTTGCATGGACAAGTGGGAAAACCAATGAAAGAGGGTGTTCAATTTTCCTAAAAACAAGAAACAAGAGAAAGCAGAAAGAAAATATATCTATCCCTAGAAATCTTTATCCAATCAGGGTGCAGGAACGACATACAATTTTCATTCAGTGTGTGGGCGAGTAAACCATAATTCTTCACTCCCATTGTCTTTGATGATTAAATGTAGCTATAGGAAGGGCTTTTTCTTTTTCTTTTTTTTTTTTACTCATGAGAAGCTTTTAAGAAACAAAACATCACATGAACAGACAACATACAGGCAGTTTCTTGTATCGTGAACTGTTTATCTGTAAGCTTGAACAAAAATCCAACTTACATAAAAGCAAGCCACGCAATGTATCTGCTGCTGATTCTTTCAGCTTTTGTTTTACTTAGCTGATGCAGACACCGAGCACATGGTATGCAGCTTGTTTTTAAGGATGCCTTAGTCATCTGCCATTTTTGCACTTTTTTCATTGGCTACTGCTAAAGGCAGGGAAAGCTCTGTAGTGGTTGTACATAAAAAAATATAACTTCAGTATAACAATGTGAAAAGGTATTCTTTTATCTAGCTTCATCTTTGCCACCCCCGTGTCATTAAGTTCTTTACCTTGGCTAAAAGATTTAAGTTCATCATTACAAATATCTACTTTCATGTACACAGTTTTCACTTCATAGGTTGACTCTCAGTGTAGCTCTGTTTATTCCAGGAATAATCTGGAGTTATTTTAGCCCAGCATGGCTAGGTGTAATGTTAAACAACTGCTCAATTTGTGATTAATTTGTGAAGATTTACTGCCAAAACTGAATAATGGATGAAATTTATTTCCAAAGGAAGAAAAGGAGTGAAATCGGGTTTAAAATAGGAAAATATATCCCTCAGCTTCCCCCTCTTTTTTTTTTTCCTTTTATTTTTTTTCTTTTTTTATGTAATAAAAGATGAGAAAATACTGCTGCTTGATTGGAAAGGACCTCCCAGTCCTTGCTGCCCTGAGGAACAAAGCATTCTCACAAGCATTGTCTTTGTCAATGTTTGAAATGGAGGTCCCTCATGCCAGTTAAGTATAATTTTTTTTCTTAAAAGCCCAGAACAGCTTTTCAAAATGCCAGCTGTCCACTCTGAATGCACATAGATTTTTTGATAGACAAGGAACACAACGTGTCTTTTCATTTAACCTAGCAAATGTGTATAAACAGACTATGTGTCTAGAGTGGTTCAGTGTTATCACTCTTGTGAATGGTAAAAGGGACACAATGGCAACATTTCCCTTCTCAGCAGTGTGGCTTCCAGCCGTAGGTGTCTGTAAACACTCTTGAAAATCATCACTGTATTTTTAATGATACAATGAAATATATCAAGCTCCCAAAACATGAGATAAAGTCAATTTAGAATATCCCCAATTAGCCTTTTCCCCTCAACTTACAGAAGAAAAAAATCAATTCAATCCGGTAGTTAGTGGTTTTGCAAATTTCTCATAATTAGAGAAGGAAAAGAAAATGCCTGAAGAGCAAAAAATCTGAACAC